AGATCCGTTTGAAGTGTATCCGTAAGGAAGGCTTCTTCACGGTGCCTCCAGAGCACAGGGTGCGATGCGGGGAGTCGCTCGGCGGGGGGGGCCCCGCAACGCTCCGGGGCCTTCGGTGTCGCGCCGAGCGCTCCTTCTGCCCCTTATAGGCTGGTGGTGACCTTGGAAAAGTTACTCCACCCTCAGTGCCTCAGTTTGTTCATCTGTAAGTAACATAGGGTGAAAATCATGTTACCTTTCTCATATGATTGGTGGGAGGGTTTACTATTTGTAAAGTGTTCTGTGGGCCCCAGGCCTGGCTGGTCCCAGGTCTAGCTGTGATCCAGGCTTGCCAACACGGGCGTCTCCCAGTGTCGCGCCCGGGACGGGCTTTGCAGGCTGACCCGGGAGCACGTTGTGCGAAGGCGGCTTCCCGCGGGAAGCCTTGGAGGCGGGGTCTCCCGCTGGGCTTTAAATGGGTCGGGCTGGGCCCCACCTGAGACCCGGCAGCTTCTGTTTGTGCCTTGCTCTGTGCGGGCCTCTGCCTGCGCCCCTGTCTTTTAAGGCCTCTCAGTGATTGTGGCACGTACCGTTTGCAAAGATGCAAGCGGAGCTTAGGAGCGTTGAGTGCTTTTACCAAGGTAGACCGCTGGTAGCGGGGCAGCTTTGCATCCTGGTGGCAGCGATGTGGTAACTACTTGATGCTGCTCTGAAAAGGCAAGTCACATATCCAGTAGGGATCATTGACTTACTGGCTGAGTGCACGCCAGGAGCCACCCTTGAGCCACCCGCTGACCATCGTCCATCATTCAGGCAGCAGGTGCTTGCTCCTTTGGGAGCGCAGTGCAGCGCGTGCTGGGAACCGTGCTCTCGGAGGGGAGTTAAGATGTACTCCCCTTAACTCTTATTAGTTAAGTGTAGAGTGCCCAGTATAGGTGCTGCAGGACAGAGCTACCAGCATTTCAGAGAAAGAATTGTTTTCACCCCTCGGGCCCGGAAGAAATTGTGGAAGGGGTGGCATTTCTGCTGCGCCAGGAAGTGCGACTAGGATTCGGGCACGCAGAAATAATGAGGCATGGCACGCCGGGTGTAGAGAGGGAGCAGCAGGAGCAGAATCACAGAGGATGTGAGAAGGGGGATTAGGTGCAAAAAGAGGTTGAGACGAGATCACAAGGGCTTCGTCCAAGGCCAGGTGATTCTGACTCGGTTCCTCGGGTGTCGGACAGAGAACTAAAACAGTGCCGTAAGTACAGAACTTGAATTCTCTCTCCCCTAACACCCCGGAGAGAGGCAGCCATTTTCCACATGGTGGGCCAGGCTCCCAAGTTGTGTGTCTTGTTGCTCATCCAAGTCTCAGCCGGCCTCAGGTGGGCAGGAACCAGCTCCCTTTGATCAGGAAGTCACACTTGTCTCTTCCACTCACATTCCATTGGCCAGACTTTAGTCTCATGGTCATACCCAGCTGCAGGGAAGGCTAGGAAATAGGGTCCCAACCACGTGGCTACACACCACTGGGCAGTGTTTCATAACTTGAAGTAATGTCCAAATGTTGGGGACAGTTGGTCTCTGCCATAGAAACATTTCCACTGTGTTTGGTGGACACCGGATGAAGATCTTCAAGTTTTTCCATCTGCAGAGTATAACTTAGACAAGTGCTGTTCGGTAGTCCATTAGTGATGACGGAACCGTTCCGAGCACGTGGAACCCTTGATCACTCCACACACGGCTAGTGCAGCTGACGAAATGAGCTTTTTACTTTTGAACTAATTTTAACCATACTTGGCGTATGGTTACTTTTTTAGACAGCGTACATCTGGGCCATGGGGTTGGAAGGGAGTCAGCTAGGCTTCCTTTGATAATACCTTCAAAGTGGCTGACCCAGTTTCATCGTCTCCATTTTCTCCTCTGAAAAGCCCAGGCGTGTGGTAACTTTTCTGTTGGGTAAGCAGGGCGCGAGTGGGCTCCTCAGTACAAATGAAGTGCGAGGTGTTCATCCTGAGTTTTGTTGGCTGCCACATCCCCGCTCCGCCCCCACGCCTCTCTTTCAGCTGGGCCGGTGCCGAAGTGTGAAGGAGTTTGAGAAGCTGAA